TCAAAGGAACTTTTTACAGAATGATTTGATAATGAGTCTCTTACAGGCGTAAGGACCTCTGTAATCCATTTGGCGATTTTATGGTAAGGAGAATTTGACATGTCTAAGATGGGTCTCAGTGGGTTCCCAGTTTTGTGGATCTTCGGAAGGCCATAAAGCTGAGCTGTATGTGACCCAATTGCTTTAAGTTGTTCATAAAGTTTTTCATTTATAAAACCATGCATCAGTAAAATCTGAAGCTGACGATTGATCTGCTTTTCCACAAGCACCACATTATCAGTAGCATTGTCCATCAGTAATTTGAACTGATCGTTGAGGATATCATTTATTTTATTTTGATAACCCGATTTGTTCATATTGACAACGCCTTCTCCCTTATCAGGTTAAGGATCACAAGATTATCTTTTTATTTAACTGAGTAATTTTCATGAACTTTATTTTATCATTGTTAACCGTGTTAGTTGTAAAGTGGTTGTAAAGAAACTACGAAATGAAGATATCATCTCGCGAAATTTGTCTTCTTAGTGCCTTATTCGAATTAACAAACTGTAAAAGTAGAGACTGAGTGACTGAAACCAGATTGTCTTAACGTTTTGCGTAAGATGGGTTAGACGAAATATCATTCTGAAAACTAACATGATGTGAGAATGGCAGGGAAAATCAGGGGATATACGTAGTCCAAGATAGTTGACATTCGATTTAGTCTCAACCCCTGTGTTACCTATGGTAGCAGAACCATGCGAGCTAACCAGTCCATGTAAATCGCGCTTGCGTCTGAAAGTGAAACTAACAAGCTGACGTTTGGAGAGATTAAGCTTAAGAACATTCGCAAAAGACCACTGACTAGTTTGTGATGATAAGTTATTCGTTTTGGAACAGTCTGACCGAGAAGTAACCGCTGGCATAGAAAATAATCAGGTCGTCGTCATACTTAACAAGATTGGCTTCATCAGAATTGAGCAAGTACGTCATACAAGAAGAATGAAAACCGAAAAGGAAGAAGGACAGACCCACGAGAAACACCAGCTAGAGTAAGTCAAGCAGTGGAGAACTTCCCATTGTAAACAGTGTACTGCTTCCTATCAGAAAAATAGGAATGCAACTACTTGGTAATCCAGCACTGTGCTTGTAATGCAGCAAGCTTGTTTAACAAAAGAGGTCTAGGTAAAGAGTCAAAGGCAGGTGTGTAATCTAGGAACGCACACCAAACATATTCGGCACCTCTGTCTAAACTAGAAACAATATTATGATATCAGATGATAGTGGCATCTAAAGCACACCCACTATGCTACTATGACCTTCCAAGAAGCAAGCACGGTGTTAATGGAGAATGATCTATTGAAAATACCAGCGAGAGGAAGACACAAAATGTCCGCACATTTTTCTGAAGATAACTGCGGCTACACCATTTGGACCGAGGGAGTCGGTAGGTTTCATAGATTTGAGACACTTGAGAATATTGTTTGTATTAAAACAGGAGAAGTAGTGATTATTTGCACTTGTAGCATTTGAAATCATAACACTTACTGGATGGCGTATCAAAGACTAATTAAGCGTACCAGCATCAAGTGGAGAATGATCATTATTTATTTGCTAACCATCGATGACTTCCTTAAATAGTTTCCACATATTTTTTTTGATTTTACAGCTTGATTCCACACTGTATTTTTGGTACAAGTATGGAATTTTCAGCATGGATATCGGTAGCCCAAATTTTGCAGGCCGACCATAGATATCAAGGTGTGCGCTGGCGTAGGCTCGAACCCCGAACAATGTGCATGGTCGGCGAGAGTCCTAACCACTGTGCCACCGACGCATATGATGAGGTTTTGCATAATGAGAAACCAATAAGTTGCTATTGAGGGAAAAGGTGAAAGCTGTGATCTAATAGAACCGGATTATGATAATGCAAAGACAAAGGTCTTACCAAAATACAACAAAACAGGTGACTAAAATTGCAAAAAACAAGAGTTTCACAAAAATGTAACCTAATTAGCTTACGGAAAACCAACCTTAAAAAGAATAAATCCAACTAAAATTTATCTGTAGACTTTCTCAGTGAGTCAATCAGTACCTCAAATTAAACAATTACGCTCAAAAACTAACTCGTTTTACTAAATTTCCGGCTTCATGGTCTCCATTTCCCCACTCACACTGCTTTAGCAGCTTTTGCATTATTTTGTCTGAGTCCCCCAACTACTATCAGAATTACTGTTCGAAATATGACCAAAATTGAAGTTTACCTCTGTGTTTGAATGCCCATCTGGCTTATAGCGCTCAGACTCTGTCATGATACCACTTACAAAGAGGTAGCTGGATGGCTTTCGTTAATTCCAATTAGATACAGTGTAGATTTTGCTTTAGGATAGATAACTTCGACATCGACCAAAACATCGTCCTCCATTCTCTGAAGAAACAAGATGCAGGGAAGTCAATGTGACCCGATGACTTTTATCCAAGGCTTCTCAAGCAGCTATCACTTCACATAGCCGGTCTACTGACTACGATCTCCGAACTATCTCTCTCGAATGGAGTGTTATCATGTGATTGGAAACAAGCGATAGTTACTCCAATCCACAGAAAAGGACCAGGACACTGTCCTTTAAACTACAGGCATGATAGTCTTACAGGCTCCTTAATCAAGTTCCTGGAAAGAATCACCAGTAAATCCATCCCCTTATATCTGAAAATCAACGACGTGATGTTCACGGCGAAGCGTAGCTTCCAGGTAAACCTCACCTGACAAACATTCATACGGCAGGAGAAGACTGGGCCAAGTCAAGGAAGCTAGAAAGAGGAGATAACATCATTTCCGTAGATTTCGGCAAAGCCTTCAATAAAGTACCTCACACAAGACTAACAATCAAAAAGACGCAAACAGCGCCTTTTTACGTCATTTTCTTATGACTCAGTGTGGGTACATTTCTGCCATTAAAGAACTACTGATGAAATTGGAAGGTCTTGGAACTAATGGACAGATTTCTTAACTGTAGTAGAAAGTTCCTCATAAGTGGGGGTGGAGAGTCAGGAACAACTCGAAACTGTCCTCATGGACAAGAGTACGTAGTGGAGTGACATAAGGCAAAGTATTTGCGGTCCTCTTATTTATCTTGCATATCGGTGAGATACTTATGCTCACCGAATCTCCTATGGTGCTACACTCAAGCGACCTAAAAAATTGGAGAAAGCTGAAGGGCGGTAATGACATGTTCGCTTTGCAAGGAGATCCCAACAAACTGTTGGATTAGTGCAAAGACTAGATTCTCCTTATCAAAGGAGCGAAGTTCACAACCATGAGAACTGGACACGCAAGAGTCAACTCATGGCAACTAGAGGGAATAACGCCCCGTCACTTCAGACTCATAATAAGTCACGACTTAAAAGCCAAGGAACACTATCATGAAGTGGCAGAAAGTAGTTTCAGATCTTTATAGGCAATTCGCAAAGCGTCCACTTGAATCAACAGAAATATGCCAACTTGTTTATATACATCTCTGGTGAGATCGAGACTGAAAACCTTTATCCAGGCAGCCAGTCCTTTTCTTAATGAAGAGTCACACCTTCTAGAAAGAGTACAAAGGAATGCAACACATATGATTCTTGGCATGAACAATTTATCATTCGATAATAGACTAGACAGTTTAAATCTCTTCTCCCTGTCATAGCGTAGTAGACAGAGAGGAGGTATCATTACGATCTTAGAAATTTTAAATAATGATTACGAACCTGATGTATTCTGTCTTCTTCTTCCCACTAGTTTGGAAGACCTTACAGGACATGACTGAATATTTCAAAAAGCCAAGGAAAAACCATATTACTACGGAGTATTGGTTCTCACACCGAGTCATCAAATCCTGTAATCGACTTCCAGAAGAAGTGGTATCATCGTCCTCAATTGACTCATTAAAGAAGAGTTCGGACAAGTATAGAAATTCACGAGAAAAGAACTGATGTAGTGTGGTGATTGACAATTTCTATCTCTGTATTGTTTAAATACTTACTGTTGACTGTTGATATGTTTCTTATATGAATTGCATAAGAATTCCGCTAAATACAAATTCCTGATTCTGCCCTCTCTGTGTTTTGGTTGGATTCTTGTAATTCGGTCATCTCGAAATACTAATATTCCAAGTACAATAAATTACTACAAATTGGCGTCGCGATGGAGCTAAATAACCTGGGAAAATTCCCCATTAATGGGTCTCCGCGGGAGATTGCTGATTATTTGGAATGCTTCGATGCGTGGTGCATTTCAAAGAATGTTCGGGATGACAAAATACCAGCACATTTCATCACTGCTATTGGGCTTGATGCATATAGCCTAGTGAAGAATCTGGCGTTTCCAGATAAACCCATTTCTCTGCCATATGCTAAGCTCCGTGAACTTCTTATAGATCACTTCCATATAACTACTTTTGAGACGCGAGAGAGGGCTCAGTTCAATAAACTGGTTCGTGCTCCCAACCAGAAGATTCGAGACTTTATTCTTCAACTCCAAATACAAGCTTCAAAGTGTAACTTTGGAGATCAGCTGCATACTCAACTACGTGATCGTCTAATTGCTGGAATCAATATTCCTAAATTAGAGAAAGAGTTAATTCAGATTCCTTCTTGTACTTTTCAAACTGCTAAAGATGTATGTATTACATATGAAGATGTCAATAATGAATACTCTGCTCCCACTACGTCAGTATCTGATGTTATGCTTTCTAAAGTCGAAAATACAAGTGTTCATGGAAAGCAATCCAAACTGCCGTCCACAGGTAATAGAATGCAGCGAGAGATCAAAAACATTAAACCGTGTTTATCCTGTGGAAAGTTACATCTACGAAGCACTTGCCGTTTTCGGGGTGCTAAGTGTCACAAATGTGGTAAAGTTGGACACATCAAGACGGTTTGCAGAAGTTCGAATACTTATGTTGCTCAACATTCTTATAATTCTCCCAAGCTGTCTAGTAAAATGGAGTCAATGTGTCTTTCAACCTTTCAAAATACTCAAGCTAATCCAATGAAAACCTCCACTACAAGTTCGGCAACTCAAGTGTCAACTGTTTTCAAAAATGAGGTAGCTGAGTTACAATGTGAACTGTCGAAAACACGAAAAGACCTGAATGAGATGAGAGAGCAACTGATTAAAATTGAGGAATTACTGCATATGCATAGACTACGTCTGGTGAATGCAGAGCATACAAGTACCCGTGAAAGTCCTGCAAAACTTTTCAAATCTCGAATTCTCAAAAAGCATCTGATGTCCACGACTTCTAATGTACATTATTACAAAGATAATAACTATAGACCTTCTGTTGGAATTATACTACAAAAAATGGGAAATCGAGTGGTGAAGATATTAGACATCAAAGATCACTCAGTTCATAACGGACACCTGGACAAAGTGACAATAAATGAAGTAGGTCGTTCCAATTATTATTTTAATGATTCCGCTAATAATCCTGATTTTGTAGATAATTCAGAAATAAGTCCAGATAATACTGATGAAAATAATATCACAGAATCAGTTAGGTCGCAGCTACTTGCAAGCAAACCGAGACATCGTTATAAATACGCAAGGAGATATTCGAGGTGTGGCGGATGTGGTGATTGACAATTTCTATCTCTGTATTGTTTAAATACTTACTGTTGACTGTTGATATGTTTCTTATATGAATTGCATAAGAATTCCGCTAAATACAAATTCCTGAGTTCTGCCCTCTCTGTGTTTTGGTTGGATTCTTGTAATTCGGTCATCTCGAAATACTAATATTCCAAGTACAATAAATTACTACATGTAATCAACCAATAAGTCTGAAAATGAACACTGTACACTATTCCGTGAAGCAAAATTTAAAACTCACAAATTAAGTGCTCAAAAACAGTCCTACTCTACTTCAACACTACCAAATACCAGTGCTTACAGGGAGATTCCCATTTGGAAATTTTATTTTCTGTCATGAAGAAGATTATTTATGATGCTAAGACTGATTGTAGATTCAAGCAGAGTAAAAGCCTGACTAACTAACTTACTAACAGATCATCGTAGAATTTCACTCACATAGTGTAATAACTAAAGAAAAATACGAGTTTCAGAATGAATTTAAATCTTGAAATACGATACAATTCATCATGATATTAACTTTACTCTGAAAATTACATAGTAAAATAATGACTAACTCAGTTTTATCTGCGATGCAGCCTCATATAGTTGTACTCTCACACAAATACACTGATGGAGTAATTGCGTCTGATGAACCAATAATATTAAATTTTTATCAACTTATCGATAAATTTCTTCGTATATTTCCCGTTGAATTTCTTAATATTTTTGGCTTACATTCTTCTTCATCTAACCAGTTATTTTGTTGTTTAAATGAATTACGTCTATATTTACTAGTATTACAATTATCCCCAGAGTTTTTATTTGATAAATAACTCTTATTATGACAATTGATTAAAATGTAGTTAGATTTCGGTTTTTCATAACCTACAGAACCAATTTTCCATACACACTTTTGATATGATTGTGGTGATGTTGATTTCGTTGTCAGTGAGATTTTCTTTCCAGCATAATTATTATTATCATATGAATTTGATTCATTTCTGCTATGATTTCTCTGATTTAATTTTAGCACCCATATACCAAATTTTAAGCACTGCATAGATATTTTGGAATAGGATTTATCGCATGGTAAATGTATCAACAATGTACATAATGATACTTTGGATTTGACATCCCCGTTCATCTCATTGCTACATTTCTCATTTAAAAAAGGCTCCAGCCACCATGATACACGAGTAGAACAATTTCTATTTGGTGAATATTCTTTATAGAATAATTGTGCTACAGATGCAATATCCTTCCATGTTTTTATTATGTTTAATGTTTCAATACTTTCATCATTTGGTTCATATTGAAATGCACTATTGCATTCTTTCAAACCGGTTGTGTCAAGAAATATTAGAAAGCCGTTATTACACTTTTCTAACTTTTCTGTTAGGCTAGGATGATAACAGTCACTACCGACACGTATGATAACTAGCCTGTGGAATGCATTTGATTTCATTTGATGTCTACGCTTTCTTATTATTGTCAACAAACTTAAAATGTCATGCATACTTTTAACTGAGTATTGCTTTAAATGATGCATGAAAGTGAATTCATTATTTGAAATACTTTTCGCGGTATTATCGTTTTGTAATTTGATTGGCTGATTTATGATACCGTCTATTTCGCTGTCACTGCTTGCTATTGGTATCTCTACAATAGATATATGAATTACTTTTCGATATTTATTCATTGAATGTTCACTGTTTTGAAATTCCCTATGAATATTATTGCCAGTAATACAGTTATCTTCATCAAAATCACTGTCAGATGTATAATTTGAAAACTGAACATTTTGTAATAAGCGTACTAAAGATAAACCAAGGAAACCATAATTTTTAGCAAATTTTGTACAATGTAATAACTGGCTAATGTTAGGTGTATCCTTAAATTCAGTGTCCTTAGTAAAAAGTTCAGCATTACCAAAGAGTGTGCTGCTTTTACCCGTATTATATGGTCCAACTGAAATAAAGCACTTTTTTAAACCATTTGGTACTAGGTCGAGTAAAGATTTATACTTGGCATATAACTCCAATGGGTTGCATAAACCAGACGAGATCACCTTAGACAAATGACAAATTACCGGTTTACTACCGACAGTGTTGTTCGATGTTTTATCTCCTGTCTCTTGGTGCACTGGAGGTTGAAAAAGTATTTCTGTATCAGAAAGGCACTGAATACATGATTCGTGCACAGTTGGTTTTAGCAACAAAACAACATTGAAACGACCTTCAAATAACTGCACATTATTCAACCTTTTTTGAAGCTCTACTTGATTACTTTTCTCGCTCATTTCTATGAGTGAGTATGCTGTAGACATTTCGTGTAGTTGTTGAACGGTTATATTTGATTCTAGAACAGCCAGCTGATATTGACGTTGATAAATCGATTTCTGATGCCTGATACGTTCTAATTCTTTGAATAGTTGTAATTTCTCTAATTCTTTTGTGTTTAAAATTGATTTATGACGATGAATTTCACTGTCCAACTGTTTTATTTCCATTTGCAAGTACTTATGTTTCACAGATTCTGTAATAAACTTACCATTTGCTTCTTCTAATTTTAATCCTGATGATTGGACATTTTCAATATCATCTTTTAATTTCTTATAGTTGCCAAGGGAGTTATTGTACATATCTAAAAGTTCTTTATGTTTTTGGCTAAGTATTGCGAGTTCTTTTTGTAAATTTTCGTAAATAAAATCTAAATTTACATTATTAGATTTAGCTAATTCCTCTTCATCATAGATCCATTTCGATTTGTTAAATCTACCTTTGGATGTTTCATCACTTGTTGTCTTCCATGTTGAACTTGTTAAATGTTCAGCGCTGGATATCTTTGTGTTATGCTGATTATTATTGCTATTGTCAGATACAGAGGTTGTTGTTGTTGTAGTGGTATGCACTTCTGTTGGATTGAGAAGGTCATGCTTACAATGGTTAAGTTGATTATTCGATTGTAGTAAACTAGAAGTATTTGGTTCAAAGTGATCTGATTGCCGAAGATCACCTTGGCTTAATTTTAATCTGTTTTTAAAAACATCAGTTTTATTCGCTGATATGTCCGTACCTTCAGTTGTTTTATTAAAATCTTTTGAAAAGACACACTTCGAGGTTAATTTCGAATTGAAGGAATCATCAATACACTCTGGTGAATTATTCATAGATTTGTACTGTGTGGTTGTTGTAGCTCTTTTAACATGTTTAGCCATCAGTCTACTTTGGTGTATTTCTTGTGAATCTGATAAATTTCCGTTTTGATCCTTATTATTATGTTCATCATCGTCATCATCATCGTCTTGTCTTGAAATGATTCTATCCACCTTCAGGCCTGGGCGATAATAATAATGCTTGTAAATATTTTCATTTTGATTTAATATCAGTGCGGAATCATTATTGAATATACTCTGTCTTAATTGTAACAGTGAGTCATTATCTGCATTGAGCTTATTTCCTCTAGCGTATTTCACGTTTAACTCTCCTTTATTATTTTCATTTTTATTATCATTTTGTGGTAGTTGTATATTTCTATTACCCATTAGTAGAAAATGTTTGAATAAAACAAAATAGTAGGCTGTGTATAATGCATTATTATTATAGATAAACTTGTGATGGTTGTTACATTGCGTTTATTATCAATCTTCTTATTATCGATTTTAATTTTCAAATCAGGAATCACCTTGTTTATCACAAGATTGTTGATTGAGGCATTGGCGTTACATTCTCCTCTGATCCGTTACTGTTTTTAAGTTAAATAATTATTTGAATAATTATAGTTATAGTAACTGGATTAAAATGTAATTTCAGTGAGATAAGAACGATAAATGTACCAGCATAGTATGAGCTAATTCTTTTAAAAATTATTTCGAGCAATCTTCTTAACTGGATACAACTTGAACAACACATCTGCAAATGTTTATAAAACTTTGTTGTAATTCCTGACAAAGAAGAAATTGTTTGACGCTTTCCTAGAAAATTTTGAGGAGTTTATTTGTAATCTGTCCAGTTTGAAGTTAAATCTCATTGAAACGGAAGCACTTTCTCTTGGATTTAACTTTCATATCCCGAATAACTTTGTCGAAAGAACCGATATTGCAGTTCAATTCGAAGACTTATTCTATCATCTGAATGACCTTACTCCAGTTGATAAGGACCAGAAGAGCTGATTCAAATCTAAACCGGTCAACGTTGCAAATCAGTACCTCATTTCACCAACACCATATTCGAGATTCTCTCTGAAGAACATCAAAGAGCATTGACAGCTCTCAAAAATAATGACAAAATTGTCATATTTTGACCCTACCAAGGCTTAGGAGTGGTGCTTATGAACAAAGATGACTACATCATAAATATGAAAACTGTGTTAAATGACAAAGTGAGGTTTAAAGTTGACAGTTGCCAGAAATATAAACAGACACAGTTGAAAAACGTATCACAAACATACTGAGAGATCTTCTAAAGAAGAAGCTGAATGACAACAGTACGTACAATGATTTGAAACCCCGAGGATCCTGCTTACCACATATGTATGGCCTTCCAAAGATACAGAAAAAACAAGTCCCCCTGAGACCTATACTTTCGGTGATAAACTCGTCCCAACGTAAGGTTGCTTGCTGGCTTGCAGAGAAGTTGGAACCTATTCGTCGACGGCTAGCCATGCACGCCATAAACGACTCATTTCATTTCGATGAAAGTGTGAACGACATGAACGTTTTAAATAAGTTCATGGTGTCATTTGATGCAACCTCCTTGTTCCTAATGACTCCAATCAATGTAACTATTGAGATCACTTATCAGCAGTCTGATCTTCTCCCACTCCCAGGGCCATGATTCAAACGTCTACTGCTTATGTGTACCACGGATGTGCAAATCCAATTTGACAACACTCTTTACCGCTAAATAGGCGGTGTAGCTATAGACAGTCCAGTTAGCTCTGTTTTAGCAGATATATCCATAACGAATCTTGAAAGAACAAAGCTGAAACATGTAATCAACGAAACAACTTCTTACCGTTGACATGTCAACGACACGTTTGTAGTGTGCAACAATAAAAGTCATACTTCCTACCTACTCAGATTATTCA